TCTTTTCAATCCAGGTAATCTAAATTATTTCTCTTACATTGCAACTACCTATCAGGATGCAAGATTATTTATTTCTATGTTAGGTTACCTGTCCGGTGCTGGGCATTGCATTTCTAGGAATCCAGTTATTCTGTTAAGTTATTTTTACTTTTGTGATTGGGAATAAAGGAATATAGAAACCCAAAGCAAAAGCCACAGTGTTGTGTTCTGTTGTGTTGCGTGGGTAAGAATTATTTCAAACACATTTGCAGTAAGGGGAAGAGCTGGATTGCCCGTTAAGGGAGCAGGGCAGCTTCAGATTAGATTTCATGTGTGTAACAAAGTTGAGAAGACAGCTCGGGCAAAGCCAGTGGGGGGAAGATCCAGTGTTAGGATGGCTTTGTCATGTGGTCTCTGAAAAGCCCACTGGTTGAAGAAAGGGACCCCAGCCAACTTCATGAGAAGTCACCCCGAAGCCAAGGTCACAGACACTTAGATTCTGCCCCTCACATTTAACTGTGCTCTATTCTCCTTGCCTCCCTCCACCTTGCAGACAGGGCTTGAGAAGTCAGTAGGAGTTCAGGGCATGTGAGCCCGGGTACAGCATGCCCATACAGCTCAATCAGGCCCATAAAAGCCAGGAAATGAACAAGTTCAAGTTCTCCTAGTGTGTTAATGTGCCCACAAATGCACCTCCTGTATGCATTTAACAGCTCATGTAGTAATGAAAAACGCCATGTAGGACATAGAGCTGCATGTGCAAGGTGGGCTAATTAATATGCCTAGTTGTGCTCCTTAATTATTCCATTCCCTGTATTTTTGGTTAAGGTAACACTGCAAATTTTTATATAAATAGTTCATGTTTTATATGGAATTTCATGTAAAAGAAACCAAGCGGGAACGACAAAAAGAGGGGGGGATGCTAATGATACTCCTATTGAATTTCATGAGTGCCATAATCTACCTTTCCCCCCCCTATAAATTGCCCATGTATTGAGAGAAAACTTTCAGTCCTGGCATGATCACTAGCCAGCCAATAGGCGGCTTAGAATAAACAGAGCGCAGATTAACGTCTTCCATTTTCAGTTATTTCTCGGCCAAGCCGTCTCTGTGAAACTGCCAGATACCAAGTCCGACCTCTGAAAGTCCAAACATGTTTGTCAGTTTGCAAACGAGGGGCGCCTGGGATAAAGACATGAATTTTAAAGTTTTCACTATTACTGGTGAGGGTTGGTTGTTTTTCTAGGAGAAGCCAAAGGCCACTGAAGATGTTTTTCCACCAATTTTTCATAAGCATTTAAGCTAAGGAAGGGGGGCGGGTGGAAAGACGGGAGGACACGGTTTTCTTTGGGGAAGGAAATTAGAAGTCACCGCAAATAATTCACCTGGATAGGTAACGGCCGAGCAAACACTGCGCTCGTGAATCCCTGACAACTTCATTGCCTCTCCTCGAGGGAGGGCAGATCTCTCGCTCCATTTCAGACGGCAGGGAGAGGGCTGTGCGCGGGGAGCCGGGCCCCAGGTGTGGGCTCCGCAGGTGGCTGTGCTCGGAGCCTGGCGTGACCCCCCACTGGGCAGGCAGGAAGCGACGCCCCCGTTCTGCACGAAAAAAAATGCAGCCTCCGCTTCCTGGCCGCAGGCAAGCGGGACCCAGAGCTTCCATGCAAAACGCTGCAGGGTCCCAGAGAGGCACAGCTCGACCCCTCAGACTCGCAGCCTCGTGACCACCACCGGCCCACCCTGTCCCCAAGCCGGCCGAGGCTCGGTCGCCCCTCTATGGCCGCGCCTGGATTACTGGTTGCGAGGATGCTCCCGCCCTCAGAACCGCAGCCCCCGGCAGCTTTGTCCCTTGCAGGGCCTGGGAACCCCGGCCTGCCCGGGGCTCAGCTCCGCGTGCGCCCTGACCTTGGAGCGAGCGCGGTCCCCCGAGCAGGGCCTGGGGCGCTGACGCTTGCTGCGGATCCGCAGGCGCGGCAGCCTCGAAGGAGGAAGCCGTGTCAGCGCAGTTCTGGTTCCAGGCCTCACCCCAGCTGCTAAACCCAAGAGCAGGTCTTTGGCTCCGCTGGGCTTCCCTGCGTCCCTGGCTCAGGGGATCCCAGGGCGGTGGGAACCTAGGCCAGACTGCACTCACCTCCCCACACTTCTCAGCGCGGGGCTTCGATGAGCGGTCCCAGAGCCCTAGCGCCAGGACCACCCGAGGGGTAAAAATGCTGGTTTCCGGGCACTGCCCCTGTCCACTGAAACCTACTACACTGCCCACCGAATTCTGACGCGCGCGGAGGTCTGAGGCAAGCTCAGCCCTGACATCCTTGGGAGCTTTCTCATTTAGGGAGCATCTTCGTTCTTCTTTTAGCTTCAAAAGCTGGTAGACATCACCAGCTCTTCCATGCAGAAGGACCCCAGACCCCAAGAGGGTTTGGGGGGCACCCAAAACCCCCTGCCGGAAGTGGTCCCTCCGGTTGGGGCTCTTACCAGACGAACAGCTAGGGTTTGGGGAACTGGCCACCACAATCCCTCCCACCTACTCGAACCTACTCCCCCGACACTTGCCCCACACAAAGCCGGCAGGATTGCTGGCATTCCGGGAACGCTGCGGTTGTTAATGGGAGGGAAGGAGAGTCCAGCGCTCAGGCAGAGAGCGGCGGCAGCCAGCCTCTTGGGCTGATCCTGCCAGGCGGGAAGGAGAAGCAGGGGACACCGGCTGGGCTCTTAGCTGCTGTGGGAACCCTTGCTGCGCCTTGGCCCCAACAATTCCACCGCCCCCACCTCTGTCAGGCCCCACTGTACTCACGCCACAAACCACCCCTGCCTATGACCCTCACCCACCCGCCCAACCTGCTCCAGCCAACCACCCAGGATCTGGACTCCCTGCCCAGGCCTTTCTGCCCACAGAGCCGGTGGTGCGATCTCTAGGCCTCCTGCACCATAGACAGCTGCTGAGTTTGGAGAAAGGGAAGGGAAAGCCCATCCTGGGTCTGGGGGTGCCTTCCAGTTGGACAGTGACAGAAAGAAAACTAAGCTGGGCCCTTTATACAAGCGGTAAGTAGTGGATAGTGGTAAATAGTGGATAGTTCATGCCTCGCTGGATCCCCAAAGGAGGAGGTAGCAATGGCAGTGAGTGCGGGCTAGTGGCCCTGGGCCACCCTACTACTGTCTCCCTCGCCTCCGCCTGAGACTTGCTGAGGGTAAGTGGGGGGCACCTTCAACCCCTTCTGGCCTCTCCCCTGTGGGTTGCTGGGGATGGCCCAGCCACTCCTCTTGCTCTCTCTGCGCTCCTGAGCAGGCAGTTTTCCCTTTACAAGTTCAGCTTCACAGTCGGTAACACTAGGACAACAATACCATCCTATTTCCACAAATGCTCAGAGAATCCTACCACATGTCAGGTGCTTCTGCCCTGGAAAGAAGGAAGGCAGAATACAGACACGGGCAGGGCCAGGAGCCCTCAAGGCGGTCTTGATGAATTCACTGCTCTTTCTTGCCCCCCTCAAACATAAAACAGGGGCAATAATGTCCCACACCAAGCGGGTGTAATGTGTCACCTAGTGGGTAGAGGTAGCCTGCCATGGAGGGCACCTGCCCAATGGGAAGCCAACGGTGGCTCCCCCTGAACAGGCAAGGAAAGCCAAAGCCATCATTCTGCCAGGCCTCAGGGTGGTGACTCTGAACTCCATGCCAGCCGGACGACAATTTGGTGCTGAGTCCTGCCTGCTCCAAGCACAGACCCAAGTGCCCAGGAGAAACCATCACTGCAGCCCCCAGGGGGGGAAAGAGGCCACAGGTGCTGCCCACCCCAAGTGTCTCCCAGTTTTAAACAACAGCGCTGAGCACTGAGGGCTGGGGTTTGCGGGGAGAGCAGACACCAAGGGAACTCATGCTTCCACCACTTTCTCTGGGGGTTCCTCTGATAAAGAGAGAAATTTCAGGTGAAAGGGCCTCTCAAACTCAGAATGTCCTTCAGTGAAAGCGACAGAAGTTACCCCAAAAGTGATTCAGATGCTTTTCTGGGAAGGCTTAAAAGTGAGCTTTCTTGTGTCCCAGAATGTTCTTACTACTCCCCCCCCTTTCAGGCATTTATGATCTGGCTTAATAACAGGGGTTCCCATTTTTCCAGTACTGTGTGCCAGACACATTGTCAACTCTAAATCTAAAAAATAGCCTGCGGATTTCACACCGCCCCTCAGTCACACTGTAAACAGTTCACAAGACGTGGAAAGTAATCCAGATTTCTGATCAGGACGGTCTTCCAAGAAGAGGCATTTGGGAATGCCAGATGAATTCTGCCCTTCCACAAGCATTTTATGAAGGACCAGCAAAGGTCCCATACAGTTCCTCCACCAGACTGTAAGCCAACATTTCTGTGACAGCACGGGTGCTGGGAATTACAATGGAAGCTCAGTATAGCATCCAGCCTTTATGAGTGTGCTGGGCTGCCCTGGGCAGCAAAGCACCCCACAAGCAACCCTTCCTTCTGCAGATCACAAGCACACATTCAATCAAGTCGAGAAGCTGCTTCCCCTACCTGAATGGCTTGAAGACAAGCTTCCAAATGTCCCCAAGACCCCAGAGTTCTCCCTTCGGGAAAATTCTGGTCTCCTCTGCTAAATGGAAATTGTGATTCTCCTTGGACAAGCGGTTACTGCCTGGAGAGGGTGTGACTGATGCAGGCCACCCAGCTCGTCTCCTCAGTCTTGAACTCAGATCGTGCCTGAAGTCCTTGTTTCTGAGCAATCATACTCGGTTACCAGAGAATGGACCGATTACCTCCTCTTCCCCTCTACTAGCAGCATTCCTAAGGAGTAAGAGCCAGTAATATTGAGCTCTTACTGTCAGGCGCTGAGAACAGTACTCCTTCATGTATGTTATTTTAAAGCAAACATAAAGCACTCACCAGGTATCGTTCTACAAGCTTCACATGTATTTATTTAAGCTTCATAACAGGCACACGAGATAGGCATGCCATCCTCATTTTACACACAAGAGGAACAGAGGTACACACAGACTCTCTACTAGTTCAAACTTACTAGGCTAGCAAGTAGCAGAGTTGACATTGACATCCAGAGTCCAGACTGGGAAGGCCTCCCGACAAGCTACAAAGCAGCACTTAGAGCCTCTCTCCACAAATCTTCTGCCCATGGTTTGTGGTGGCCTCTGCATCTGTTTGAATCCAAGAAAAGACCTGAGATTCCTTCCTAGGTGAGCAGTTGTGTCTTTCAAAAATACTTAACATATATCAAGTGCTTACTGTATGCCGGGTATGGGTAATTGAGGAAGTGTTATGTCAGGCACTACCCTGCGCCACTTTAACTCATGTAATCCTCAGCAAAACCTTATCGATAAATTCTATCGCTACACTGTTTTCAGATGAGCAAACTGAGGTGCAATGGCAATAAATCAGTAACAGGCAGGGTTGGGGTTGACTCTAGGTTGTCTGGCTACAGATGACTGGGTGCAAAGATCGGGGTCCCCTCTGCTCAGAGGCCTGTGTACCAGCGTAGAGCATCTCTTTTCCTCCCAGTATACTGCCAGGGATGTCTTCCTGCAGTTCCCTGCTAAGGGAACCCTGTAGCATCAAAAGGAAGAGAGCTACTGGCCCCAGTCCTGCTGTCAGTCTCCCAGCTGGTTAGAGGAAGCAGTCAAAGCTTCCAACTGGAGCCTGCAACCGGAGTGGCAGCTCTCTCTGCCTTTTGGGGCCAGTTCTTCCAGGTCAGTGGTGCAGCTATATCCACAGGCTGTTCTTTACCTTTGCTTCTGCAAACGCTTTCACAAACGTCTTCCCTGTAGTGCTTTTGGTGGGAAAAGGTGCGAAGAGCCCCTTCCTCTCGCACTTCAGGCAGTGAATCTCAGGATGATCTCTGCTTCAGAGCAGGATAAAGAATCAAGCAAAAAGCCCTCTACTCTTTCCCCAGAGAAATATTTTCAGCCTCCCTCGGTGGGAATCTCCAATGTATTTGTATCTAATTTTTGATCCAATGTATTTGTACCTAAAAATGCATTCCTAAGACATTTATTTTAGTCAACAAAGCCCTGCTCTGGGGCATACGCTGGTAGAGGTGTTACGGAGAAGCCAAACACTTTAATATTTACACCGGCGGGCTCACACCAGCCTCAGCCTCTCTCCAGCTCTCCGAGACGGCCCTAAAGGCGTGGGTTGGGTCAGAAACAGCAGAGGCATCGCAGTGATCTCGCGTGGACTCAGCGGACGGGAAGAAGTGTCCCGGGAATGGGTCCCGCGGGGGCGGCAGCACACGAGCAGGGAGCGGCGCGGAGCGGTGCACCGCGGCAGACAGGCGGGCGCGCGAGTGGCCAGGATGGATGGGGACAGCCGAGCAGAGACCCGCTTTTGACCTTGGCGAAAGACACACAGACCTTGCCCGATTTCCCGTCTCCCCTCTGTTTCTCTAACTGGAGCCTGGTCTCGCTGACCCTCCTGGGTCAAAGCTGTTTCTGCGCGAGGGGAGGCGCGCTGAGATCCCCGCGGGTGGCGGCGCGGGGCGCGCTGCGCACAGAGTCCCCGGCGCGCTCGCGAGGGATCGGATCCTGGGCGCGCAGCCGCTCCCCTCCTCCCGCGCGGCAGAGCACAGATAACTCCCGAAATTCCCCGCCGCTGCCTAGGGGAGCTGGGGCGCTGGTCCCGCCTGTTCGCCTGAGGGGGCGCACGCCCTCGCACCTGCCGCGCTCCTCCACCCGCCGCGCTACCGCCGCGCCAGCACCTCCCCAGCGTGCGCGGCTGCGTCCGGCGAAGGCTGGCGCCTCCGGACCCCTTAGCGAGAGGCTTATTGGTCTCAGCCGTTTTCAGACGTGAGCGTTTTCCGTTTCTGAGGTTCTGGGACATCTTCCTAAGGCACGGTTAGTAAATTCTGAGCTGACATTCATTGCTCGGCGCAGGTATCTCTTCACTCCCAGGAGCAAAGGGCAGTGATCGACGTTCAGACTAAATGGGCTTCCTCCAAGGAGGGTCTGCACGACGTTCGGAATAATTCTGAACAAAACTGACCCGCCCAGGACTAGCCGTGAGATATGGGGCAAGGGTGTTCTCCTCTCTGTGCCCATGTCCTCATGAGCAGAATGGGTCCCTGAAGATGCTGCAGTCTCTGCGGCCCTCCCAAGCTCTAGGTTTTGCCTCTAGGGTTGGGGGCACCTTCCTCTGAGAGGAGGGGTCCGAAGGCTGGGCGGTCAGCAAATTCTGCTGCACCCGTGGAGCCCGTCCAGCGCTGTCCCCTCGGGCACAGTCAGCTCTGGTTGGCACCGTTGGCAAGGTTGGCACGTGGAGGCTCGGGACTGAAGGACAGCTACACTGAGGCGCAGAAGCAGGACTGCCGGGCCCGGGTTTCTGCCGCCACATATGGTCTGTGGATTTAGGTGTCAAAAACCGGAGAATTAGAAATGGTAATTTTCCGTCATTACGGCTGAAACGCGATCTGTCACAACAACTGGAACATGTCTCCGAGCTAGCGAAAATAATGTTCGTGATTAGGAATCATTATGCACGTCAAGCCGAGTCCATTAAGTTGTAGGGAGAAATTAGCCTTGACGGGCGGAATCAAACTACAAATATACAGGCCTCGCCTACAGGAGGCCTGAGCAGTGGCCCTGGGGAGGAGGTGGGCCAGAGTCGGGTGTTTTCTTAATAGGAAACTGACCAGAGAATTAATACCCCTTCCCAATCCCCTGTGGGAGCCACCCTTCTTCCCTGACAAGCAAGTCCACACCCTCAAAGCAGGAGGGGGGCTGCGGAGGCCTGGAAGCCAGTAGTTGGCAGCTTTGAAGTCCCACAGGCCCATGGCCAGTTCCCTGCCACCACTTCCAAACTGTGTGACCCTGCCCAAGTCACTTGACCTTCCTGAACTTTCCTCACTGGTCTGTAAAAGAAGGATAATCCCACCTACTTCATGAAGTTCTCAGGAGAATTAAACCAAGGTGGGGATGGTCAGTGCCTAACGCTGAGGTGCCTGGGAATTAGACACATTTTTTTCCCCTCCTGGAGCCACAGTCTCCTGGTGAGGTGGTGGACATAATGGGGGCACAAGGTGGATGCATGTTGGGGGCTGGCCCAGGTTGAGTGCCTGGAGCTGAGAAAATTTCCAATCTGGCCCTGAGAAAAGCAATCAGGATCTCTGAAGTCAGAAGGCGTGAATCAGAGCGATGGCATTATACTCTATTCCCTGTCACCCCAGATAGGAAAAGAGGAGTCAGTTGGGTTCTCAACCTGGACTGTCTCAGCCTGCTGCAGCTACCAGCCGCCTAGGGTCCATGGTGTCCCCAGTGTCCACGCTGGTATATAGTAAATGGTGTATACTAAAGGAGTGGTATATTGGTGTATACTAAATTGAGTGGGATTAAGAAGACTTTCTTTCCAGGGTGTTGCCTCTGTCCCTACTGGAGATGAAAGCTGATCTACTATTCCCTGATGCCTCCCCACCAGGAGATTTAGGAAAGGTGTGAAAGAAGGGGAGGAGAAACCAGGCAGGATTCTAGAGGGACTGCTTCCATCCAGCCTTGGGTGCAGATGAGCTTTTGAGAGTTTGCTTTGTATCCAGCACCAAAGGACTTTACCTACCTTATCTCCTTGTATCTCAAGCAAACCTAAATGTCTCCCTTTTCTGATGGGGAGACTTCGAGCCAGCAGCTAGGGAACCCGCCTGCCCATCGCTAGGAGCCTGGCGTCCAAACTTGGCTCTGCTTCCGGAGCCTCCTCCCCACGCCACTTTTTGAGCTGTACAGCTCTCGCCAAGCACTGTTTCCTCTCTTTCCTTTGCCTGCACCCAGCACATTCTGCCTCTCACAGAGAGAATGACACGAGCTGAGGAGCGCGGCACACTTAGCTCACAGTCTGACGGCGCTTGGGCTCTCCTTCACCAGCTCCCTTTGTGCCTCCGTAAGTGGGATCCCCAATGTGCAGGCTGGAGGGAGGGGCAAACACAAGTGTGGCCAGCGCAGAGTAGTTTGGAGCTGAGTAGTCTGGGTTCAAACTCCAGCTCCGCCAGAAATAGCATAAGTTCTGTTCCCAAAGTGGGGGAATCAGAATGCAGCTGCTGGAAGGAATGAATGAAGTATTTCATTTCTTGCTGTTCAGGAAACAGGTTATAGGCTAATTAAGGTGTTGGTTCCCGGGGCACAATAATTGGCATACGCAGGATTGGAAAGCTGCATCTGAGAGAGACTCAGAAGCTGCCCCAGTCCCCTCTAGCAACTTCTCAGCATTTCTAGGCTCTAAGAGCTCCAGTCACCTGGAACTGGCCCCATCTGGCTCCCGAGGGCACCGGGTCTTGGGCTGCAGTCCACAGAGAGCCTCCTTGACCCTGTTCCTCCCTCCTACCTGGCAGAGTCTCCTGCTGGGCGGTAAGGAAAGGGGCTGGTGGGGGGGAGGCACCAACAGTCTGAGCTGAGGCCTGGTCTCCCCACTCACTGTCTGCTTTTTGCAAACCCAGAGAAGGCTCCATGAGGGGCCCAAATAAAGGGGTGCAGAAGGGTGGAAGCTGAGCCCCTAAAAGAGATCCTCTGCCACACAAATAGAGAGCGAGGCGGCCCTAGTGATGCACACAGAGAAAGTGCTCTAACAAATGTCTGGCACACCCATGACCCTCCTTGACTAACCCTCATAATACAGGGCATTTCTGGAGCTCCTTCGCAGCAACCCACACCATGCTTTATTTTTCTTTTTGCATGAACATTTTTGCCTCATGTGAGGCAGTAAATGCCACCACTGCCAGATGTCTGTGTATCTCCAGTGCAGAGGTGTTCAACAAACATATGCGACTATCTGAACAAATGAATGAGCAAGGAAAGAATGAGGAGAACAAGACAGACAAGGATTCTGCAATAAAGACTGTCCTCAATTTTTAAAAAAAAAATCTCTGTGCTTTAAAATCTTTATGCTTTCTCTCTGAGCTCTCCATTAAAGTTTCCCTGCGCAGAGCACTTATGACAGATTCCAGTTGGCCTCTACATTGTCTGTGACTGTCGTGCCTGTGAGTGCGAGCATTGCAGTCTCCCTAGAAGAAATCCTGAGAGCAGGTCCCAGCCTTCTGCACAAGAGGACCAGCGCATCCAGCAAATGCCTGGCCACAGGCCGAAACGCGAGGACAATAATTATTGTAAGCCAAATAAATAGGAAATAATTATGTCCTAAGAAATAATGTCCTAGGAAATAATTATTTTAAAGGAATTCTACAGATTCCTTTGAACAGAAAGAATGCAAGTTCGCCCCACAATGTGTGCATATAACACATATAGATACACATATGTATATATATATATATATATATATATACACACACATATATACATATATACAACAGCAGAGAGAGACAAACAGAGAGAAAGCCTGCCTGAGGACCTGAAGCCAGGGCATTGTGCAAATACTTTATCTCTCTATCACTGAACTACTCCCCCAGCTTGCTAATGAATTTATTTTTCATTTTATGTATATAAGTTTATTTATGTAAATGACTGCTCAGGTTAGAACCCAGGACCTGGAGCAACCACTATTTCCACTGAAATCTATGTACCTCAGGCCAATTTATTTTTAAGGTGCAGCTGCAGAGGATATGAGAAACGTGTTGATTTGAAGAAGGTTTTCCATGGAGGCTAACTGTTCTCCCTTCCTCGTCTCTATACTTTGTTAATGGCACATTTCCTTATGTAACTGTGCAAACTTATCAGTGAGGCTACAAGTATTTAATGACACCAGCTGTTTCAGGAGCGCATGATTCGCTCACTCACCCATCCTGCTGGGAGTAATTATTTTTTCAGCACAGTAGTACTAGCTAGGGCTTCATAAAAGTTGGCTCCAAACCCAGGCGCTGCGCCTGGGGGGATTTTCAGTTTGATGCTCTCACTGCCTTCCCCCTTGGAGGGTCAAGACACCTGGCCTGAGTCCCTGGTCTCTCTCAGCTTTTCCAGAGAATCACTCCTGGGTGTGTTACCAGTCCCAGGAAACCAAGACTACCTGAGGTGAGATTGAAAGCAAATGTCAAGAGAACCCATTTCTTGGAATGTAAAAAGATCTGCAGTAGGGATCTTCCCTGTAAAACACTTGGGAGCTCCGGATGGGCCAGACCCTGCACTGGGAATGCCAAGCAAGGGCGGTTGCTGGCAAACAGCTATCCCAGCAAGTCTTTAGGTAAGGATTCCAGCTCTCCATGGGGGCATGAGCCATGGTCACCTTAAGGAGGCTATCCGGGCATATGCTGGGCACATGCTGAGGATATGCTGTCCTGGGATGGGTAGCCCTGCTCCACTTAAGGAAAGCCCCAACACCCAGCTGACCACTGCTAACCTCTCTAAGGGTGTTTCCATCCACTTTAATGGGGCTGCACTCTGCTGACTAGCTGGCTGGCTCCTAGCTGGAGCGTCTGTCCAATTTTGAATTTGGACCACTTCCCCATATGCCATGGAAACAGAGAGTGTTTTCTCAGGGACCTCGTTTTTTTTTCAGGTCAGAAGTATTAATGTGCATTTTAATAGGGTCAAGTAGGAGATGATGGGATGCTCCGTGGAATTTGCTTGCATCTGAGTTGCGCTCAGGCACCAGTAAGAATCTTGAGTGCTGAGGCTGGAGAACTTGACCCCAAGACCAAACCAGCTTTTGCGCTTTGCTTTTTCCCCAGAGTCAGCACCCAGCTGGCAGAAAGAATAAGGACGGCTTGTCTAGGGTCAGCAGAGCACAGTTGCCAGCTTCTCTTGGGTCTCACGCACTCTCAGGCAGAGATGGGAAAGGGTTTTTTGCAGGGGATTCCAGCCCTTATACATGCACCATCCCACAGCCTCGTCTTCCCAGAGATCCTAAGGTCAGACACCGCCAGCTCAGACACCGCTGTTTTCCCAGGACATTAAGGACATCTGGGAGCTGCGGGACCAACTCAGGAAGAACTCTTAAATTCACACTTAGTGTATGAGTGACACAGCCAAAGCCTGCGACCTGAAAGTGGAGACCTGAAAGAGGAGGAGAGCTTGGGTTTGGCCAGGCTCTGGCCAAAGTCTTTTCTTCTGCTCTGTGACCCAAAGGTCTCCTCTCTTTCTTTGACCTCTGGAAGGCTGTGTGTCTCTAGCCACCTTACCCAAGGACTAGGGAATCAAAGACACACTGGTCAGTCTTCCCAGGGGGAGGGGTAAGAAGAAAGAAGGGCAGCATCCCAGCCCTCCTGCTAGAAGGGTGCTTCCCAGGGGTCAGTCACCTGTGACAGTCTCATCTCCTTCCAGACACCAAGTCCGGCGTGGGCCAAAGCAGAGCTTTTACTATTTAGTTTTTGAACCCTCAGGAGCATCAGTTCCAAAAATCTTACCAGCTGTTCCCAAAAAACACAAACAAAAAGTAGGTCTAGCAGGACGACCAGAGGACTTGGACTCCTCCAAGCTTGTGGGGACAACTCGGGATCACTTCAGCAGCGGTCACTAACACTCCTCGGCGATCTCTGAATCTACATAGCCTTACACCCTCTGACGGCTGCAGTCCTCGGGGCGGCACCTGGCAAAGCTGCGGGACACAGGGATCTGGAATGCGCGCTGTGGGCGCCGCCCTGCACCCACCCCCCCGCGGAAGTCTATACCCTGAAAACTGCAGTTTTGGGTGCCGCAGTGCAAAAAACCCAGCGCACAGCTCAGCCGCGCCTTCCAAGCGGGCCCTGGTGCATACAAGGGAAGCGATTCAAAAATGTTAATAAGCTTATTAAAATGAGCGGCTTTGCTGGTTCTTATATACAGCGAGCTCCCCCCGCCTCCGCCATCGCTTTCTGGTGGAGAAAGCGCTTGTGTGAGTTTTTCCCCATTAGTGCATTTTCCATCTAAGGACAGGGCACTCTCCGGAGTGCGGCACGGCCCAGAGGTGGACCGGGTCAGGTCTCCCGCCTCCCGAGCAAGCCATCCTCACACTTCGGGGGAGCAGTCCATCGTGAGGAAAAGCTGACCACTCAGGGCCGGGAAGGCTGACAGAGAGGCCGAGAGAGATCACCCTCCGGTGCGGCCGTCAGGTCAGCAACTGGGGCGACCTAAATCCTCCAAAACAAAACAATCATCCCCAAAGAAACGCCTAAATTGCTCAGGAAAGGCAAGACCCACTACTGAAAGTAGAAAAGCGTTGTTCTTTCCCTCCACTCCAAGCGTCACCCAGGAGCCGTACAACTTAAAAAAAAAAAAAAAAAAAAAAAAGATTTCCAAAGAAGAGAAGTCAGTTTCCTAAGATTCACCAGTCCAGTGGCACAGCCGCCGTAGGCCTGCAGCGTCCAGGCTCCCAGGTCCCGCACTCTATAGACCAAGGGGACACCGAGCCCCAGCCCGGTTCCACCGGCGTGGAGGGCAGCCGCGAACGGTCCGGTCCGGAACCGACACCCTGCCGCCCCCACCCGCCGGGCAGGCGCAAGCCCAAGACCTGGGCACAGAGCACAGGCCCGAGCTGGTGCCCGCGCGGGGCTGGGAGAGGGATGCGGAGAGCTCACCGAGAAACCCGCGGGCCGCACTGCGCTAGATCTTCACCGCGACTTTAAAGATGCAACTGCAGAAAACGCAGATGGATCGGTGCAGAGATCCGGGCACCCCTGGTTCCAGGCTCAAAAACCGCAGGCCGGAGCGGCCTGGGGCGGAGGAGGCGGGACAGAGCCCCGCGGGCAGAGCGTGCCGCGAGTCCTAGGCCGGGAGGGAGGGCTCTCCACGCGCGCTCGGGAAATTTCTGAGCCGGGCCCTGAGCTTACCTCGCCCGGAGGCTCCAGAGAAGGCGACACCCTTACCCTCGCAGCTCTGCTCTTTCCTTTGAACTGGACACGCCAATGGGAGCGGAGGGGTGCTATTCAGTGGTCACGGTTCCGGGTTGGCTCCGGGTGGACCAGAAGCCCCAGTCGGGCCTCTCTCCTCCTGCTGCGCAGCGCAAGGCATCACAGAACTGGGCGGGTGCGGGGCCGCAGGGCCCTTTCGGGTTCTTTCTCTTCCAAACTGCAGCAAATTTAGACTTTTGACGTTCAGGGTGATGCGCTGTACCCACCCGCCCTGCTTGGAGGGCCCTGGGAATCAGTCCTGTCTTATAAATGCTTTCATGATTGAACGAGCCAATTTAGGTTGAATAACTCCTATGTGCGACTCCAGGGGAAGAAGCCAGTTTATTAGATGATGTAACCATTTACATTATATCACAGTTTTTGCATTCCTGCTTTGGCATTTGAAAAAAAATGAGAAACATTTATATCAGGAGACCAGAAAAAAATAATCTAGGGTTCTCCAGACCTTTGACAGACGCTAAGCTGAGCGGACCACTGGGCACTTGTAAATCCCTGAAGAATGTAGGAATTCAGCACTGCCCAGAAGGTCATAATAATAATAATAATAATAATAATACTGTCCAAAACAATAAGACTACACCAGTTGGACAATGCTTAATAGTTTTCAAAGTCCACCCACATCTTGTGATCCAACCACCCTGAAGCCAAAGGTGGAGGATGCAGGTGCTAAAGGACTCGCCCACCTCAAATCATAAAAATATACCTCCGGGCTTTGACCGCCCCTGACTTCACCCCTTGTAGCCTGTGATGATGGAAAAATCACATTGTCACTTTGAGCCTCCGTTTCCTTTTTCTGTAAGAGGGAGGTCACATCAGCTAGGCTGCAGGCAGCCACAGCGAACCGGAGGGCAGGACAGGACTTGTGGGTGCTCTTTCACGTGCGGTGCCCCAGACAAACAGAAGCAGTGTTGATTTGGTGTTGTTGTGACTCTTATCAAATATGTTTTGGTTGTTCCCCTAGGCCTCCCTCCAATTAAAAGCCTCTGCTGTTGTTTCCTTCAAAGTGGCTTCTGCAGCCATTGCTGCCACCGGCTCTGAGTCCTTTTTGACATGCAGAGTGAACCATTCTGTCTCCTGCAGTCCCCACCAGCTCTGTGCCACTCCCAATTAAGACAAAGTGAGACTGGTGACCTTAAAGGCTTAAGCCCCACAGATCCCTAGGCAGCAGGCAGGGCCCCTGCTCCTGTGTACTTCCTGTCCCTTAAAGAACACTGTTCCCATCCCCCCCAACGTCCATTGGAGGCCAGAAACTTCTCTGGGAGTCTCCTGGTTTGGGGGAAATGTCTGATTTGGCCTGTATCTCATGCTTGGTGGTCCTGGCTTTTTGTCCGGCAAAGCAGGAGCCTTTCTGTATGTGTGTTGGATTCTGAAGAGTTTGGAGGCAGAAGCCAGAGTCTCTGTTTATCTCCTGAAAGTCAACTGAATCTTAGGTCAGGAATGTGGATTGGTGGTCTGGTCTGGTGGTACCAAGCTTGGGTGGCCAGTTGGTACTCAGATCTGCAAGACCTGTCTTGAGATAGCTACAGGCCTGGAATGAGGTTCCACCCTAGGGGACACTTTGCCCGTATCCAAGGCTGTCTCCTGAGCTCCCATCCCCCTGACAGCAGGGAACAAGGAACCAGGAGCAGTACTCTAGGACGCACTCCGCTCCTGGCCCCGTCCACTCTGCCCAGTCTCTACAGGTTCTGGGTGCTAAGACTACCAAGTCACTCAGGGCTCCGAGGCATGGGGATGATGTTTGAGATGATTTTAGACAACTCCAGTGAAGTTAGACTTGACGAAACTCTCTCCCTTTTCCCAATGTAGGAAGGAGGCAAGGATGCTGGGATTCCCTGGGACAGTCTCTTCTTTTTAAAAATAGAACTCAGCTTTAACTCCCACTGCTTGGTTCCTTCCTGCACAGCCAAGATACTGTCTAGAGATCTGAGAGTCCCACAAACCTAAGCTTTTGGAACAGGATATAACTTGAGATAAGCAAGGCCAGAAGGCTCCAGTGTCTCTCTCTCTCTCTCTCTCTCTCTCTCTCTCTCTCTCTCTCTCTCTCTCTCTCACACACACACACACACACGGACATTTGGTAGCCAATTGATCCTAAATTTACTTCCCAGAACAAGATTATAGACTCAGCCTGAGTCCTTGGTATCCATTTCAGTTTAGGTCACAGTGCGTGCTGTCCTCTTGCCTTGGTTTACCTATCTGTAAAGTGGGTGGTCCAAAAAGAAGACCAGCTCTCACATTCACCCATGGCAGAATGGACAGGAGGATGAAGAACACGGGGCTCAAGCTGCACCTGTGTCTGCTGTGAGTGAGCAGGTTCAGGGGAGACCTCAACAGCTGGCAGGTGGGTAGATGACCCAAGGCACGTTTGTGCAGATTGGGGTCAGCAAAGCAAAGGGATGCTTTTGGTCAAAACAAAGCAAAGCAAAACAAAACAAAACAATATAAAATAAAAAAGCAGGCAGGGAGAATTGGTCTTGGAGAAAGAAAAGGAAATAAAAAAGTGAAGAAAATAATACCGGGAACTTCCCCCAGGAGCCGCATGAGCATCCCAGCAGTGGTGGGAAATCCTCGCAGGCGGAGCAGGACCCAGAGAACACCTCTGCCTCGGGCGAATCAGACCCCCAGGGGCTCTGGGCAGCGAGGTGGACAGGGCCACACTGAGGATCTCACTGAATTAATTTGAGCCATCCTTACCGGGTAGCACGGAGCGCTCGGAGGTGCTAGGCCAGGCAGGGAGTCTGCGGGCGGGAGAGAACGCTGCTGGACGCAGCCCTGGACCTCCCATCCTTTTTCTACTCGGAAGAAACTCCCAGGTTCTCCTGCCTCCACGTCCAAGGGTAGAGAACAAACCAGCCTAGTAGGACTCAGCAACAAACAACTATGGGTACCACTTTCAGAAGGGGACGCCCCCTTTCAAAAACCCTGCGTAAGTGACGCTTTCCCTGCAGAGGAAGGGAGGAGGGAGGAGTGTGGTATTATCAGAAAGGAGAATGCATTCGTGATCAACTAGAAAATTAAAATCGTACATGAAAGCGGTTTTAAAAGAAAATGATTGCGGGAATCCTAGGGGAGGTAGCTGGACAGGGTGGGGTTTGGGGCGTGCGTACCCCAAGGCCGTTGCCCTTGACATTTCTGTTTCGCCAAGTAGGGATCCTTTTCGTAACGCCCCAGTCGCCACGCTGCCCACGGAGTTGCGGGCCTCCTGACCCAGGCCTTTAGAATTCATCCCCAGGTCCGGAGACCTGGAAGCGACCGAAGGCTGCGGCCCGGGAGTCTCGAAACTCGGCCTTTGCTCTCCAGGTGAAACTGAAAGAAGCCCGGGCCTGAGTTTCATAGTTTCCGGCCTCGCGCGACTGAGACCGCGGAGCCTGCCCTGTGGCACTAACTCTTGCTCGAGGGAGACCCGGCGAGAGATGGGGTATTCGGGGAGTCTTGCAACATCAACCCCGGGGTGTTAATCTGTAAAATGGGATAACAAAAAAACCGCGCCCCGTCCATCCTCTGCTCTCACCAGGGCTTCGGTTCCGCTCAGGAGGCCCTGTTACCGAGGGAGCGAAAGGGCCTTTGGATTCGGCAGGGTTACAAGTGGCAGGGGACCCCCGCTTTGGAGATGAGCTGTTCACGTCTGGTTTGCTCTTAAACGTGTCCGAATTTCAGCGCAAGTTTGTACCAGCCCATTCTTGGAAGGAAGTGAAGACCCGATCCCTTATGGGAAAGGCTACAAAAATAAAAGGCAGCCAGGGAGGACGTGGAAGGGTCCGCAGATTAGGGCAGGAGGTGGGAATTGGCTGTGGGCGCAACTCTGGGCGCATTAGAAAACAAAGAACCCTGGGGCTTCGCTCCCGGATTCAGCGGATTCACCCGCGATCCTGAGCACACCCGGAAGTCGCGATTCCCTGGGCTGCGCGGGTTCAAACCCTCCCGGAGGGGCGGGCGGCGGACGGGGAGAAGAGGTCCTCGATCAAGGCAGGAGGGAGGATAGGGCAGAGGCCCGGCTCCTTCCAACTCTCATTCCTGGTTCCTCCCAAACCACACCGACAAAGTTTCAGAAAAAACACGGCGTCCAGGAAGGCATGTCAAACTAAAAGTTTATAAATTAAAGAAAAAAAAATACAGCGAATAGAGCTTCCAAACTTCACAAATCTTTTTAAAGATAATACTCTAGTTGAGTGCACAGTGCCCTTAAGGAGGCAAAAGCGGCGAGGTTGACAGGACAGGCGGGTCACCTGTCTTGGAACAGGTGAGGGGTCGGGAGGACCAGGCCGGGGCAAGGTGGGTGCGCCGTGGAAACAGAGGGACCGGCGCACGACTGCGGGACGCAGTGGAAAGGCTGGCCGGGGATCTTCACATTGAATACAAAAATAACCGTTATTTGAATACAAACAACTGCAAAGTGCTACAAGTCTGAACCTCCTTTGAAAAATAAAAGAAAGAAAGCAAATCTCTGCGAAGAGCCATTGGGGCGTGCCCTCCTCGTCCCGGGCTCCCAGGCACCTCCGTTAGGGCGCAGCCTTGGATTTCGCAAAGGGAAAGGGTGGAGGTCCCTGGCCTGCCCCCCCGCTCACAAGCTCCCTTCCTTACATTCAGCACCCAAAGGGAAGCCCCTCCGGAGCTCTGACACCCGGGTGGGGCGGAGCAGGGCGGGGCGGAGGTCCCGATCACCAAGACCACCAAACCCTTCACGGTTCCAATGAACCCCTGGCCTGGGGCTGCCGGGGTTGCGCACTCCTTTGTCACAAATGCAATTTTCAAAAATAAAAGATATGTAGATACACATAGACCGGTAGCATGGATACCATGAACTAGTGTGGCCTAGCGCACGAAGCTCCCGGCAGGCCGGAAATTCTGGGAACATTCAGGCTCTGTGGTCTCCAGGAGTCCTCTCCGCCCTGGGGAACACACCGTCCCCAGGCAGACACAATCCAAATCCAAATCCTACATTGTCGTGGTAATAAATAGTGTCCAGGGGCTTGCAGGCAGGTGAGGGGCGAGCAGGGCCCTCGGGCCATAGAGAGCCTCCGTCCAAATTAGAGAAAGGCGCCTCTGCGCAGGCTCTGCTCCGCCACCGCCAGGTCACACGTGCCGTGAGCCAGCCAGAACTGGATTCCATCCTCCGCGTGTCCCCTCCTTCGGGCGCCCCGGCGAAGAGCGGTCCAGTCCGCGGCCGCCCCTTCCGAGCTGGGCGCGGGAATCCTCGCCGCCTCTCCGCCGCCGCTCACTGGGTGCCCGCGGCGGCTGCGCAGGTGGAGAGCGCCCAGCCCGGGAGGCAGTAGTAAGGGTAGTAGTAGGACGGCTGCAGCGGCAGAAGCGAGGGTGGCCTCAGCACCTCGCCGGGCAGGTACTGTCTCTGGTCGTCTCGCACCAGCACCTTTACGGCCACTTTCTTGGCCGCGGGCGCCGACGCCAGCAGGTCTGCGGCCATCTGCCGGCGCTTGGTCTTGTAGCGACGGTTTTGGAACCAGATCTTCACCTGCGTCTCGGTGAGCTTCAGCGAGGCCGCCAGGTCGGCGCGCTCCGGCCCGGACAGGTAACGCTGGTGGTTGAAACGGCGCTCCAGCTCGAAGACCTGGGCGTGCGAGAAGGCGGCCCGCGAGCGCTTCTTGCGCGGCTTGGGCGCCGCGGGCTCCTCCTCCTCCTGCTCCGCCGCGCCCGCCGCTCCGCCGCCGGCCCCGCCGCACAGCCCCGGCGCGTGTGCACCTCCCGGGCCCACGCCGTCGTCCTCGGCCCTCGGGCTGCGGTCGCCTGCGGACCCCGTGAGAACAAAAACAAGGCACTGTCAGACGCGCAAAGCTGAGGCTGCCTTTCTGCTGCACGGGCCCCTCGGGCACACTGGGGCGGAAATACACTCTGCTCCCAGCGAAGCGGCAGGGAGGCTCTGTTCCTCCCGCTTTGACATCTAGGCCTCGTCCCTCGCCGGCCACCGACCCAACCCCGGAGCCAGTGCGGCGCTGTGCAGGACGCGCTCCCGCGCGCTCTGGGCTCCGGTTCCCTTCGAGGCGCGGGGCTCCGGGCCTGAGCATCCTCCAAGCCCTCTGCCCTCAGCACTTCGCTTTAGCCTGAGTTTCTGTCTCCCCGCTGGGGTTCACCCGACTCCCAGCGTGACCCGCGCGCGAGCCTTATCCGCAGCACTCATGCCTTAGCTGCACTGAAGGTAGGCGGGCGGATCGTGGGGCCAGAGACAGATGGAGTCTTCTCCAGCCGCCCCGGGTTGCCGCGCCAGGCCTTGGAAGGCTTCTCTCCGCGCCTGGAAGGCTGTGAGAGGAGCCCCGGGGCCGGGTGATGAGGGGGTTCCTGCTCTGACACCAGCTCGGCAGCAGTTCCCACTCTCCGCCCCTCCTGCTCACAGCCCTGCCGGAGAGAGGGCCCCGCTTTGGGGCAGTCTGAGGCCTACCGCGGCTTCGAACCCGAAGGATGTGCGCTCAGGTCTTTCTACCGAGAACTGTGCCGGCGCCTGTGGCTGAGGAGGCCCCTCTCCTGGGTCCCACCGGGAGAAGGGCCTCTGCTCTCCTGCTCCCGGTCCTCAGCCCTGGGGGCCGGGACTCTCGACCAGTCCTTTCCCCAGATGCGCGGCTCTGTAGCTCCTCAGCGCTGGCTCAGTTAAAGCTCGAGACTCTCGGTACTTTTCTTGGTTACCGGGATGGGTCCTGGGCCCTCCAGCCCTTAGGGTGTCTGGACCCGGGCAAAGCCACAGTCTTTCTGAGGCCTCTGAACTCTTCCAGCTTAGGGGACTGAGGACAGCCCCAGTCAGCACTGGTGATGAACACCAAGCCCCTCGCAGTGGTTCTCTCCCAAGCCCGTCCAGGGCGTTCCCGAGGACTGGCTCGGAGGAGCCCCCCTGTCCTCTCCGCGGCTCGGGATAAGAGCAGACCTCGCTAGTGGGAGAGCTTTGGGACCGGGCCAGAATCGAGACCCCAGCTCAGGGAGCTCACAGCTGGACACTCTCCTGGCCTGGCGACCTCCTCGTCCACACGCCCCAGCCCAGTCCCCTCTGCCGAAGCCCGCAGCGTACCTGAAACGCTGGCAGACATCTCGCTGTCGCTGCGGCCCGCCACTTCCTCCTCCAGGTCCTTGGCTGCGTGCAGCTCGCAGGCGGGCGGTTCGAGGCCCAGGATCCCCCCGCCGCGGCCCGGGCCGCCGGCTCCCGGCGCGTCGGTGCAGCGCCGCCGGCCC